GTTCACCTAATGAAAGTCTTAAGAAAGGGCATTGCATCCTCTTGCATCCCAGCAGAGGAGGTTTGCAGGCACCTGCCAGGGCTTGGCTTGCACCCCACATCGTGGTGCTGGGCTCCCAACTTCACTAATGGCATTGCAGGAGTGCTCAGGGGACCAGGCTGACTGGTCCAATGGTCCAGCCATGAATTAGGTTGGGCAGAATGGTTCATAGCCCAGATGAAAGGCTGACCAGGGACATCCTTCCAGAATAAACCTGTTTCCAAATGCAGAGATGGTGGTAAATCGCCATCGTGAAGGACATATATCAAAGTCCTTCCTAATGTGAGTCCCAAATGGCCTCCACCTCCGTCCATGCACTTGGGCTTGCACTTGGGCTCCTTTCCCAATGGTGGCCAGCCAGTTTCCAACCCGCTTGCCCCAGTTTTGATGAGAAAAGGATGAAAGGATGTTAAATGAACATCGAGCCTTTACACGTGGGCAGGGATGGAGCTGGAGCAGTGGGTGGGTGGCTGGATGAAAGGCAGATGGTGACCTGGCTCTTTCCTTGCCCTCAAAACCACAAGTCACGGGAGGAGAAGCTGATTCCCCGGCTGTCTCGCAGGCTGTGACTTGGCTCTGCTTCAAAGCAAATAGAAAACATCTCCATCCCCTGGAAAGTCCCATGGGTGTAAAACCAGGACCCTGCCTTGAGTGGTCGTGTGTGTCTGGGTGGAAACCCTGACATGGAGACAGGGACCTTGATGGTTCCACCGCTAGCCTGGGACTCTGCTCCAAGCCCTTGGTTTGGTCTCAGGGTGTTCCTAGGGCATTGTTAGCACTCCCATGAGGGACCCCATTTTCCCCCAGGGTGGATCTGAGGACCCCTTGCTCCTTGCTGCCACATCCCCTTAGCACCAGCAGAGGACTCTGCTGCAGCAGGGTTCAGCTTATTCAGTTTATTAAACACCACAGGGACTGCAGTCTTCTGTGCATCTTCCAAGGTCTCCCACTGGTCATCCCACCAGCTGGGATGTCACCTGGAACCCCCCCCATCCCTTTCTTTCCAAGGTCAAGGTTGGGAGCACGGTGGTTTGAGGGGTCCCTCAAGGATTTGGAGGTAGGGGCTGGAAATGGGGGTGTGACTTGATGCCTTTTCATGGCGGGTGGTGTAAACAGAGGAGCAGGATCTGGAGGATCATCTACCACCAGCAGCATCAAATGTGGCTGCAAAACCCAGCCAGTCAAGATGGGTTTTACTGGGGGTGAAGAGGGTTGCTTTGGCACATCGTTTGTGGCAGTAGCCTCCAGTGCCAAGCTGAGTCCTTGCAGCTCATCTCATGGGTGATGAGCCACAGCCAGGCAGCTTTCAGCTCGCTGGGAGAATTTGAAGAGTCACCATTTTTGAATAAATTAGGAGTTTTTTGAGGTACAGAGGGCTGTTTTGCACACTTTCCTGTGCCCTTGGGAGGGCAAGCCCAAGGGCTCAAACCCTTCTCCCCTCCTGGAGTGTGGGAAAGATGCTTTGTGAGCATATATGTGCTTATATACACATGCATGTGTGCATACACGTGTGTACACGTGTGCACTGGCAGTGTGACAGTCCAGCTGCTCCCCAAAGCACGTACCAAGACGTTGGTGTTTAGCCAGTGCTTAAAATTGTAGGTATTTGGGGAGAAAGGGAAAAAAAAAAAAAAAAGAAAAGGATATTTTAAACTTTCAGGCTTTCCTGAGCATCTATTTGCCAAGGAGTCTGCAAATATTGGTATTAAACCCATGAAAGCCTTAAAATAAACTCCTCACAAAGTTGGGTGATTGGCGTGTTATTTCAGACACCCACTGGTTCGGTTTCTTCCAAAGAAAATGCTGCCTTAGCCCTTCCATTTCGGGGAATTTCTGCAAAAACGTGATTAGTTTGAGGGGTCTGGGAAATCTCCTCCCTTTGTTTGAACCCAGCGCCACTCTCCTGGATGGCTTTGGGGCACCATCTGTCACCTTTTCTCGCTCATCATTGATGGTGGGATGACCACTTCCCTAAGCCACCGCAGTCCCTAGTGTGAGAGAAGTGGGTGTGGGTTCTCTGATGTCTAATATAAAGGTTGAGCTGTTGGATGAGTGCTCCTTTGGCTCTTTCTCCTTTGCGTGACAAGCTGTTTTCTATGAAACCCATAGGAGCTCAACAGGGCAGAGGTTTTGTCCCTCTATAGAGTTGGCCAACTAGATCAGGGGCCTGGAGCATCTCTTTGATGAGGAAAGGCTGAGGGACTTGGGGCTTTTTAGTCTGGAGAAGAGAAGGCTGAGGGAGGATCTGATCAATTTTTATAAATCCTTAAAGGGTGGGTGTCAGGAGGATGGGGCTGTTTTTTTTTCAGTGGTGCAAGGTGGGTGTCAGGAGGACGGGGTTGGTTTTTTTTCAGTGGTGCCCAGGGACAGGACAAGAGGAAATGAGCACAAACTTGAACATAAGAAGTTCCATCTCAACATGAGGAGGAACTTCTTCACTTTGAGGGTGGCAGAGCCCTGGAAGAGGCTGCCCAGAGAGGTGGTGGAGTCTCCTTCTCTGGAGACATTCAAACCCCACCTGGACATGTTCCTGTGGGACCTGCTCTGGGTGGACCTGCCCTAGCAGGGGGTTGGACTGAGTGGTCTCCAGAGGTCCCTTTCAACCCCAGATCATGTCTCCAGAGGTCCCTTTCACCCCCAGATCATTCTGTGATTTTGTGATCAGAAATGACTTGGAGGGGCAGACAGGCTTGTTCCTTGGAAAATCAAGCCCCAAGGAGGAAAACTAGAAGAAAAATGAAACTACTCAAAAAAGAAGTACCAAGCGTTTTACAGCAACAACATGAGCCACTGCCTGACTCTGCCAGATGAAGGGTCTGTTTCCTAGAAAGGCACGACTGGGAAGGAGAAGCCCTGCACATGGATGCTGGGAAGGTCTAGCAGAAATCCGCATCCCTCCCTCCCACGTGGGAGATTTGTTTGCTTGGCAGGAAACCCTCCATGCTCTTAACTTTCTCTTCCTGCTCCCAGTGGCAAGAAGTATTTAGAAAAAGTGGTTTGAGGGGTTTGTTTTCTTTTTTCTCTGAAGTAAGTACATGATGGATGGCTGTGTTCCCCGTCAATGGGTGTTACTCTTGCTTAATTCTCATTCTTGGGTTTGAGTGACTCACATGAGCTACGGAGAAGTCACTGCAGGAAATGCTCGAGTGAGATGCTGTAAAACCCAGGAGCTAAAGCTGTTCACGTGCGAGCCCTTCATCACAGAATCATAGAATCGTTCAGGTTGGAAAAGACCCTTGGGATCATCGAGTTCAACCATCAACCCTACTCCACAAAGTCCTCCCCTACACCATATCCCCCAACACCACTTCTAAAAGACTCTAAAACACGTCCAGGGATGGAGACTCAATGACCTCCCTGGGCAGCCTATTCCAATGCCCGACCACTCTTTCTGTGAAAAATTCTTTCCTAATGTTCAGTCTAAACCTACCCTGTTGGAGCTTGAAGGCATTCCCTCTCGTTCGGTCACTACCTGCGAGAAGAGACCAGCACCAACCTCTCTACAGTGTCCTTTCAAGTAGTTGTAGAGAGTGATGAGGTCTCCCCTCAGCCTCCTCTTCCTCCAACTCAACAGTCCCAGCTCCTTCATCCACATGGCATTCACCCCCAGGGTGGGACTCCAAAAACCTGGGCTGAAAATCAAAAGGGGAGTTTCAAAGAGTGTATTTTGGGATTATAATTCAGCAATTTTGGGGGCTTGCAGCTATTTCTTTGCCTTTTTGCTTTTGAGGCTTCATGTTTTGGCAACTACAAGGGCTAGAAAGTTTTTGTAAAAAGAGAAAGCAATAGTGGAGTTTTCCCCCACGATGCAGGGGACCTTGAAGTGCTTCTCCATCCCACACCGCAGAGCAGTGGGCACTTCCCGTGTCTGCATCTTAAAGACATTGCTGGGAGATCAGATGCGGCAAAAAAGCACGAAATTAATTTGAAGGCTGGAGAAATCAGCCTCGGGATGAGAGAGAAGGAATTGGAGCTGCTCAGATGATTGCCAGGCAGATTTCAAAGCAACTTGATCACAGTTTGTAATCAATTCATCAACTGAGATGAGTGTGTCCTAAAAGACTCCTTATATTGGCAGAGAAAGGCGCAGCAAAAGCCAGATGGGGGAGCAAGCGGCAGATAAATTGCAATGGAAAACAAAATATGTACTTTTTGCGATGGAAAACAAAATCTGTACTTTTTCACGAGGACTATGGTTACATTCCGGAAACCTTCTTCTCCTGGTGTCCGTGGAGAAACCTTTGAGGACAAGAGGCTTCACTCCAACACGTGGAGTGAAACCTCCTTGGTTTGGTGGCTCCAGGAATTGCTGGGTGAAGCAGAAAAACCACGCTCTATGGGACGGGAGATAAATCAGAGATTCATTAATTAATTACCTGATCTAGCACCTTCTGGTCTTCAACAGGAATGGCCTCAGGAGAAGCCAACCACCACGTCAATAGAGATAGAACCAAAAAGACTTAGATATTGATTTCTTCATGCTATGAGAGTTTTTGGCCCCTGTAAAGCCCTGCTGTGACCACACAGGTGTCTCCACACCTGACTCTTGCCAGAATGCATGGAACCAAACCCCTGCAAGCACTGAATTCAAGAGGTTACTGGGATTTCTGGAAAAGGGGAGATGGCAGCAAGATGAAGTGAAACCCTCCCCAGTGAGCTTCTGGGTTTGGGATGCTCCAGCAGCCCTTTCCACCTCAGCTGCATCTCACCTTGCCCAAGGATGAGAAGACCTCTCTTTTGTGGTGACCACCTCTTCCATGGGCTCCTACAGCAGTTTAGATGCTGGAGGTATCTACTGTGGAGCTCATGTGTGGACAGCTGTATTGGGAGCTCGAAACACATCTAAGACATCCAACAACCCAGTTTCTATCCTCAGTATCCCCTCTTCTTTGAATATATCGAAGGAAAAGGCAGAAGAGTGCTCATAGTAGAAATAAATTTATTTACTATAAGAAATCTGAGGTGTCTGCATGTTACAAAAATAAAAATGTACAGTCATTGTCACAAAACCCACATTTTTTTTTTAGTATAAGTTAGTGCTTTTACAAACAAACAAAAAATATATATAAATTTCCAGTTGGTACCTCTCCAACCGCTCTCAATGTGAACAGTGTCACTATCTTGTGCAGGACCAGGATCACAGAGGGAGCCCCTCGATGGGGCTGGCAGTGTTGCCCAAGATGGTGGTTTGAATTTCACTGAATTTCACTGAATTTTTAGAGTTGGAAGTGACCATTGGGATCACCCAGCAGGGCCATAGGAGTGGACTCTGAGCACATTTTTGTTGAATTATTCAGAGCACGTAACTTGGTGTTCACGCTGCTTTTTTGGCAAGTCTTGAAGACCAGGCAAGACCTGGCCTGAAGTAACGTTTGTACCAGTTCAGCGCTTCGGTTGAATTAATTTCTCCCGATTATTTGTCTCACCCCGGTGATCATGCCATGACCCTCCACACAAAGCCAAGTTTCCTTCAGAGGCACAAGGAGAAAAAGGTGCTGCCATGGTGCAACCCCTATCTTAACCCAACCCTATCCTTAAAGTTCACTCAAGGATGAGATGAACCACCCTTCAGCCCATTTTTTCTTTGCCGACGGTGCTCAGAGCTGAGACAGTCCCCTCCTCTGCCTCCTGTGGCTGTGACATTGTTGGCTGGTACGAGAGCCCTCCATGGGACCATGGCTCCACTGAGCCGGGACCACAAGAACCTCCCAGTTGACCATGAACGGTCCCAGTTGTCCTTGGCTGAACTCATCTGGTCACATCGTGGTGTGTCTTTATCTCCACCAAGCCACTTCATAGGAAGGAGGGATGGGAGAAACTAAGAAGAGGTCTGAGGAGTCGGTCTAGACCAGGATCAAAAGTGTTTATCTAACCCTAAAATAGAGCTAGGGCTGCTTTTACAAAATATGACTCGTCCAGTGCTGCATCACAAGCAATTTTCATTTTTGGGGCGAGGAATCAGCATCCTCGTGGCAAGACTGGGCAAGGAAACGATGGGCCTGGGCTCTCGGCTCTCTAACCCAGCAATTACAGAGAGAACGACCAAGTGGGCCTCCTGGTGAAGTGTTTTGTGGGCATTTTCTCCAGTTTACTTTGAACTGTCCTGGTTGATGTGGGATGCAAGGCCAAAACCAGACGGGACCAGGGCTAAGCTTAGCACCATGTTTACTGGTACGGCTCCTAAACCCAGGGGAGGTCGCACTGTCAGTAAGGGTTCTGCTGACTGGCTCCAGTGGAGCACTGGGATTACGAGGAGACCAGTCAATGGCATCTGGGAAGCATTTTGGGTCACAGCAAGCTGCGAAAGGTCACAGAGGGCTGTCACCTCTGAGCAGCAGTGAGGATGTGGCAGCACTAAGCCAAAGGGATGAGTAACAGTCTTTGCTTCTTTCCTGGAGACACGAGCCACTAGTAAGGGGGTTAAAAACAAGGCATGAAGAGCTCACCCTGAATTTTAAAAAGCTGGAGATCATTATTAAAGTCAACAGCTGAGGGAAAGCTATGGGTGCCTAAAAGCTCTCCAAGGGTGAATGTTGCGGTTGGGAAGCACTAACGGGTCTTTGGGAAGATGTTGACCTCACTGGAGAAATCTACAGGGGACCTCCTTGATGGGACCACTAAACTCAAGTGGGATGGTACCAGCATACTCCAGTGGGGTGGGAGGTCCACCAGCACCCTTTTGAGTGGGAAGCCACCCCTTGGACAGGAGCTGGGAGTCCCCTCCCGGCTCTGCCAGCAGAGGCCGGGGCTTGAAGCTGGGAGAGCCTTCCTTCAGGGATGCAAAGCTGTGGGAGACTCTTTTCTGCTGCGGGTGGTATTTTGCGCTTGACATTTTCATTGACTTGTTTATCAGAACCGCAGCTGACACTCCTCATCGACCAAAAGCCTTCCCTCCCTTGCCAAGACACAGAGAAACCCTCGCTACCTCCGTGCCAGGGAATCTGGAGAAAGGCAGATGGATTTCTTCAGGAGGACCTTTTGCCCACAACGTTCCTGCCTTAGAAAATGATGAAAGACATTCGAGGCCTGTTATTATTTTTTTTTTTTCTTAGCAGATGTGGCCACCATGAGAGAGGTCACCCAGCCTCACTGGTGGAGAAATGACATTCAGGGTCGAACAGAGAGGCAGGCTTGGATGAAGAGGCAGAGATATGGAGTTTGTGTGTACAACCACAGCAGCTTCTTCCTGAAAAAGTACGTTTTGAAAGCAACGAGCAGAGGAGCGTGTTTAACACGGACCGTGCTGAAGTGGGTGCAAGACAAGGCACCGCAAACACCAAAATCCTCAGACCCTGAGGCATCCTGACCTCCCTTCACACCTGGGAATAAACCCTTCCATCATGGAGATGGCGCTGGCCATGCTGGAGCAGAGCTAGGATTTCACTTCCTTGGATAACGAGCTTGTGTCATCAGTGGTTCCCAGGTGATTGTTGGGCACAGTCCCCAGAGCCATCTCATTTTGAGGCTTCCAGGGTATCTTGCTGCCTGCAAACTTCATAAATCGTTGTCCTGCTAAGAAATACAAAATGGGATCCAAGCAGCTGTTGGTGCTAGCCAGGGGACGGGTCACCTTATAGGCTAAATTGATGGCATTAAGGGTCTGACAGCTCAAGTCCCAGCTCCGGAAGGAGTAGTACAAGGTACGAGTGACATGGAAAGGAAGGAAACAAACGATGAAGACCACCAAGACGATGATTATCATCTTGACCGACTTCTTTTTGGATCGGGAGAGCCGGGACATCCCCCGTGTGGGCTGCAGCAACCTGCGGGCCATTAGGCAGTAGCAGACGATGATGATGAGGAAAGGGATGCAGAAGAGCAGCACCAGCATCACTGAACTGTAAATGACAAACTCGCCAAAGAGCTCCTTGCTGGAGGTGTCGTGGCAGGTGATGGTGTCGCGCTTCACGCTGGTGGTGACGAAGAAGAGGACGGGCGACTGGCAGACGACGGTCACCACCCACACGATGACCGACACTCTCCGGGCGTAACGAACGTGTCCCCACTGCAGCGACTTCAGCGGGAAGCAGATGCCCAGGAATCGATGGATGCTGATGCAGAGGAGGAACAGGATGCTGCAGTAGAGGTTGGTGTAAAACAGGAAGCGGACTATCTTACACAAGCCCACGCTGAAGGGCCAGTTGTCCCCCATGGCGTAATAATACACCAGGAGGGGCAGGGAGACCACGTAGAGCGTGTCGGACACGGCCAGGTTGAACATGTAGGTGGTGGAGGCATTCCAGGTCTTGATCCTGAAGATGAAGGCGTAGAGGGCCAAGAGGTTGAGAAACAGTCCCACCACACACACGATGCCGTATGAGACGGGCAGCAAAACATACTTGAAGTCCTCATCAAATATGCACTTGTAGGCATTGTCTCCTGTGCTGTCTGGGTCCAAGGAGCTGTTGATGACTCCGGTCCAGGCTGGAGGAGTTGTTAGGTTTGCCATCACCCTGGGGGGAAAGCAAAGAGGATGTAAGGACATGGAGATGAGGAGTCCCTGGAAGAGGTGGGTTAGATGAGAAAACCCCAGTGCCACAGTGCTGCAACACGTTTTGTGGTCCGTGCTGTCATCATGACAATATTTGAACCGTTCCTGCTCCTACCATCAAAGTTGCCACAACGCTTTATCCAAAAGCCACCTGCAAGCATGGCTCACTGTTTGGTAGTGCCTTCTCAGTGCAGGTGACAATGACTTGAGAGACAGCAGTGGATGCCTCCTGCTAGCACATGGCATCCCCCTGAAGACCACGGTCTCATTGTGTTGGGTGTTAACACAAGCGAGGTAGTTCCTAGCATGGAGGGCTTATGGTCAAGAAGATAAAGGGAGTTTTATTTATCCTCATTTTGCATCTGGAGCACACGGGAGGAACCAGGCTGGTCTAGAGTCACCAACAAATCCCAGGTCCCAACTCTGGGAAGTCAGCTCAGACTTCCTGCAGCCTAGTCCAATGCCCCAATCTACCCTTCCCACCAGGTTCACCCAGCAATTTGGTCTCCTGTGCTACAGGACAGCAAAGATACTCCATTCCGTGCTTAACCATCTGCTAGAAGTGACTCAGCTGAGTGCTGTGAAAGGTGGGTCCTACTAAACCCAGGCAGAAAGGGCAAGAAAAGGGAATGAGCAATCCCTGCCATTGGCAGGACTCTGATTTCAGAGCTCCCCATCTCCTTCTGGTAGAGCAAACATCACCACAACATCAAGAAGCCCCTTTGATTACCCCAAGGTAACCAAACCTTGCCAAAGAGACCGTGTTCTCCACCAGAGGGGCTCTGCCTGGCTTTCTTGCTGCTGCTGCTTGTGGGTTTTTAATACCAAGGCTTTTGCTTGGTTGGGCTGATGGTGGCCATCTCGCTGATCCTCATTCCTGGCCTTGAGACCCGCTCCTCCAGCATCACCACCACCAGGAAATCTGGCCCATGCTTGTGCAAGGATGGTTTATGCACGGGAATGACCAGCTGAGATGAGAAAAATGGACTCGAAAGAGTCTCTGCAGACACAGAGAGTCTGGCACTGTCTGTATCAGGAGAGACAAGGGCCCTTTTGTGCGTCGGGGACGGCCCACGACCCAGCCGACACACGATCGCCCAGCGAGCCCATCAGCCAGGAATCAAATAAAGATGCATTTGCCTCCCTTCCCGTAAAACCAGCTGGTTTGATCTCAGGGGACACGACGTGCTGAGCCCTGGGCTGCTCCTCCCTGTCACGGGGAGCCTGAGGAAATGGGGTTATGGGGAGATAAATCCACTGCAGGAGCTTGGAGACCGGGAGCTACTACAGGAGAAAGGGTTTGGGTAAAGGCACCCTTTGAATGAACACGTGGGATGTGCCCTGACCCAAATCTCACCATAATTTTGGGTGGAAAAGAACGATACCAGCCTTCTCAGCTAAATGGTTCAGTGCTAACCCGGTGCCACCGTGCTGCGGGACGCTGTGGGCATGCCCTTTCTTGCAAACAAGCACCGTTTTGACCCAGAGCTATCCTGCACCTACCTCCAGTTCAGATTCTGTAGGGAAGGAGGCAATGAGGGTCTCCTAAAAGCTGTCAGCCTGGATGGTCTCTCACCAAAGTGAAGCTCCACAGCATGAAAAGGCACGTTGACAACTCACAGTCAACGGAGAAGGGGTGAAGTGATGCCTCCAGCCCATCACACAGGGGTAACTCCAGCCCTTGCTCCGGGGACTGGATCAAATAGCCTACCCAGATGTGTCATGGACATGATCCTCCCTGATGTTCCCCCAATTTCACTGCCTTTCTCCTCGGAGCAGACCACAAGCAGCGCTGGCTGAGGCTCACACTTCCCAAGGACGTGGGCAGAAACCACACACACACTCACACCCTGCCTAATCTGCAACATCTGCAAAAAACCCAAATATAATTTTGGGAACCGCTCTGTGATGAACACGAGGAGCCAGGAACATCTTGCTCTGTCCTCACCCCAGGGTTTTCCTTTTCCTGTGCCCAGTTTAGCTTTGGTCCCACGACCCTTCATCCTGCTTCCCTTAAGACCTTGGTATCAGGGTTGGTCCCTGCAGAAAGAGAGGGTTGACAGTGCTTGAGCAGATGGTAAAACACTTTCCAGCTGCTCTTCTCCCCAACTTCTTCCTCCCCTCTGAGCTTTGCAGATCTGTGGTCAACGAGGCAAGAGGATGCCGGCAGACCTGGCAGCTGATTAAATGGGTCGGACAAGCCACCACAACCAAGAGGAGCCACACAAGGTGCCCTAAAAGGCATGTGGAAGGGTTACAGAGCTCCAGAGACTTTGGCTTTGCACGTGGCTTCTCCCTGCATCCAGTCTGTCCCCTGTGGACAACCGGTCACCCAGCTCTGAAGCACCGATGGGGGCAAGATCACCCCATCTTCCAGCCCACCTCCTTGCAGGCTCCCGTGAGCCCAGATAGAAAACCTAACGAGGCATTTGAAACCCTTCTGTAAGGCAAGGTGGGGAATCTCCTCCAGCGTGTGGGGCAGCACGGGCTGCCCCAGGCCATCCCGCGGCCACGGATGTGCCAAGATGCACATCACAGAATCACAGAATCACAGAATCTTCTAGGTTGGAAGGGACCTTCAAGATCATCTTGTCCAACCGTCAACCTAACTGACAAAAACAGACACCCACACAACAAACAAGAAGCATCACCATCACTAAACCATACCTCCCAGCACTACATCAACCCGTCTTTTGAACACCTCCCGGGATGGGGCCTCCACCACCTCCCTGGGCAGCCCATTCCAATGGCTGAGAACCCTTTCAGGGAAAAAATTTTTCCTAATATCCAGCCTGAACCTACCCTGGCGCAACTTGAGGCCATTTCCTCTCGTCCTGTCGCCTGTGACTTGAGAAAAGAGACCGACCCCCACCTCTCTACACCCTCCTTGCAGGTAGTTGGAGAGAGCAATAAGGTCTCCCCTCAGCCTCCTCTTCTCCAGGCTGAATAACCCCAATTCCCTCAGCCTCTCCTCATAAGACTTATTCTCCAGACCCCTCACCATCTTTGTCGCCCTTCTCTGGACCCGCTCCAGCACCTCAATGTCTTTTTTATGGTAGGGGGCCCAAAACTGGACACAGTACTCAAGGTGAGGCCTCACCAGTGCCGAGTACAGAGGCATCTTCAGGACAAGGAGCACACAGGGCTCTCTCTGGTTGGCTCAAACAGGGTAATCAAGGAGACAAAACCCCGCTCACAAGGCAGTCTTGTCCCTGTCATCGTGCTCTCCCTCCTTTTTTTCCTTCTGGAAATGCAAAAGCCTTTCTTTTTTCTTTTTTTTTTTTTGCCTACTTTTGCCCAGAATCTCTAGGACAAAACCTGCTGTGTCTGTCAGGGCCATGGCCACGGTCCACCCCCTCGCCCCCGGCCCCGTTGCATCCGCAGGGAGCCCAGATGGAGAGGACATCTGTGTGTGAAGGCACAAAAGCCGGCGGTTGCCCTTTCCGCTGCCTACGGGCCGGATGGCACGAACGCCAGCTCCCAGGGTGACGCATGGAGAGCCCCCAACGGGGACGAGGGCAAGGAGAAAAGCAACAGCAATCCCTGAGGATGACGAGCAGGACGACTACTTCTACGACTCCCCAAAGCAAACCCACCAGGATGCTTTGGTGAGGACCACCTGCGCCTCCTCCACGGGCTCTCCCGGCCCTTCCCGGGGTCACAGCAGGTTGTTTTTTCTCCGGCGTTGAATGAAGGTGGCCACGGAACAACTTTTTAGGTGCCCTTCAGCCACCTGTGCACAGCAAGGTCATCGCTCCGACCAGCCTCCTCCATGCTAGACCACGTGTCGGGGCTGCATGAACCTGGTTGCAACGGCTGGACCATCACCTTCTTTGCAGCGTGGCCTTGGACCTGTTTATCCCATGGAACATGGGGTTTTTTTTTCCCCAGAAAATGGGTACCATCAGCTCTAGAGGATGAAGAAAGCATGGGAAAGGAGCCCTGTGATGAGAGGAGCCCAGGCAGATGGGTGGTGTAATCCCAGCAGCCACGTGCCCTCAAATATATATACCCACAGGCATGTGGATGTGATGTCAGCATCCCAAAACGCTCCCGTAACAGTATCTACCACGGCCAGGCCGGGGATATTGAGATGAGTCAACAGGGGGAAGGAGGGGGCTGTCATCGGAGAAGGTCACAGGCAGCTGAGGAACATGTAGCACCCAGGGCCGGCGTAGGGGGGGACCGGCGGGTTGGGCGCTGAATCACTAAGGAAAAGGGCTTTAAGCCTGTTTTCTGCCCCATTTTTCAGCATTCCCGGTGGCCATCCCAGCAGATCCCATCCATCCCGTTGCCTTTTGTCCTTGGGAACCCTGCCAGCAGAAAGCGAAGTCATGGAAGCAACCAAAGAGCAACCAAAGGACGGCCGCGAGGAACGTGTTTTCACGGGGTGGCAGGGGGGAGGCTGATGAGGTTTAATTGACCTTCCCGAATAATTAACGTGGATTAATTTACCGGCAGGATCTCACAGCTACAGCCCTTCCTTCAGCTGGTGTGAATCAAAACCCCGTGGGTGTGGGGGGCACCAGAGGTCAAAACCCCCCTCCATTTTCTGCATCTTCCCCCCACCGACCCCTTTGCCCACGGACACGAGGAGATCGTGGCTGTTTTCCCTGCCCTCCTTTATAGACATTTTTTAGCTGACTCATCAAAATCCTCACTCTGGATCAGGAACTGCTCGAGACGCTGGGAAGCCAACGACCTGGCATCATTTTTCTCTCCTTTGGGGATGGTGGTTTGAAACCAAAAGCAAACAGACGGCGTGTTCGGATGCTCCCGAGCCTGTCCGGTCTGGAGACGTGAGATGGGGACCAGGCTGAAATCTGAGCCTGGCCAAACTGCCTGGTTTTCCTCTGCCCTTTCCATTTGGCTCCTTTCTTGCCACCCTGACCTTCAGTGCCTTTCTCCTCCGGGTTGGCTCCGGCCACCGGCGTGGGCTGAGGACATCTCCTCCCCTGTCCC